CTTTGAGAAATAAACGTTCTCACATGCATACTCAGCTTAGTGCACTAGCATGGATAGAGGATTGACCAACTAATAGAAGATAGGGAGTTTGGATAAGGGGATGGGGAGTGTTCTCAGTATGGGACCACAATTGTTTACAATGTACATTGATGACTTGAATAAAGAAAGTGAATGTACTAAAACCAAATTTGTAGATGACACAAAATGGGTGGAAAGGCAAGTGGTGAAGATAACACTCTCAGTCTGCAGAGGTATATAGAAGGCTTATGAGGAGAACTCGAGTAGATTGGTCCTGTACTTATTGGAATATAGACCTTAACAGTATTTTTAGGGGACTTGGCAGGATAGAGGTGGAGAGAGTCTAGGAACAGAGAGCATAATCTCAGAGATGAGGAGAAATTTCTTCTCTGAGGTTGTGAATTCGTTATTGCAAAGGGCTGGTGAAGCTGAGTCATTAAGCATATTCAATGCTGAGATAGATTTTTAATCAGTAAGGGAATTAATGGTTAACGGGAAAAAGGCAAGAAAGTGGAGTTGAGGATGATCAAAAAGGCCTTTTCTGTGCTGTACTGTACTGTTCTGTGTTCTATATTGTATCAGCCTTGATCACATCAAATGACAGAGCAGACTTGATGGGCTGAATGGCCTATTCTCCCACATCTTATGGTCTAATCCTTAGTGAAGAAAATGTCTGACAACAGCATAATATTGTCCCCGAATGCATCTAAAGAATTAGATGTCGATTTAGCTTGGGTGTTGAACTGGTCCAATGCTCTGCTTAAAACAAGGTATCAAACTATATAAAAAAAACTATAAAAACATGAATTGAAATAGCAATGTATTTTGCTCATTCTAAATTCAGGTTACCCTGCTGAGAAAGGAATGTTGTTGTGCTCTTTTGCAGTTTGTTTTATACTCCATGACACTACAATTCTTTTGGAATAATTATGGCATTAAATCAAGAGTAAACCATCACATCTGTCTTCCTCGATCATATCCTTCTGGCATGTTTTTAAAGTATCACCCATTCATTTCAAATAGCTTTGCTTGGAATCATCCCGTTAGATGTTCTGACTGTTGTTCCCATCGGCATTTAAGTTTTATATTGCATGTCCTTTATGCTACAATTTACTCAGAAAACACAATTCTTCTGTGATGACCCCCAGAACTGGGAGCAAAGTGGGTGGCATTAAGAGAGGGCTTGAAACCTGTAGATAGAGAAACTGTAGCCAGGTGGCATTAAGAGAGAGGACTTGAAGTCTGAATATAGAGAAACGGTAGCTAGACAAGAGGCTGAGAGAATCGGACAGGCCATTTCTGTTGCAGATCGTTTCAACTACTGGGAAACTGCTTAGTGTAAGATTCTACTAAAATAACTGGTTGTGTATCGTGGAACATTTAAGATAGAATAGGGGAAAATCACAACGTTTTCTTGTTATCTTAAAAGTACTCCAAAGGTGGGTTGCTTGTAAATGAATTATGATTTGATTTTCAGGTGCTAACCTTTTCTATTATAAACTGAATTTTTTGAGTTCATTTTCTCATTTTAAGACTCCTAACAAATAAGCTGCTATTGGTAGGAAGTCTGATGGAATTCACATGTTCCCAATGTGTATATAAATAAACTACTTTATATTTTAAATGATATGCATCGGTCTAAGTTTCAATGTCCATAATTTGTGATTTGATTTTCTTTGTGTATGCCTATAGGGGAAAAAAAGTGTTAAATAAGTTGAATTTGAATCCCAGCTGTTTGGACACTATTTGATAGTGTCAAATCCTTTTCTAATCCATCTACCTACAATAGTTAGGCAATAATTGCAATTGTTTGCCTGACTTCTGTTGAATTGTGGCAGTCAGCCAGTGATGTAAGATTGCATTCTGGTTTAGTTGATGAAGTGACATATCTTATCAGATCATGGGTGACAAAGAGACTTTGGGGTACAGGTTCATAGTTCCTTGAAAGTGGAGTTGCAGGTAGATATGATAGTAAAGAAGGCATTTGATATGCTTACCTTTGATGGTCAGTGCGTTGAGTATAGGAGTTGGGAGGTCATGTTGCATCTGTACAGGACATTGGTTGGGCTGCTTTAGGAATACTGTGTGCAATCTCTTCTCCCTGCTATAGGAAGAATGTTATTAAACTTGAAAGGGTTTGGAAAAGATTTACAAGGATGTTGCCAGGGATGGAAGGTTTGAGCTATAGGGAGATGATGAATAGGCTGGGGCTATTTTCCCTGTTGTGTCAGAGACTGAGGAGTGACCTTATAGAGGTTTATAAAATCATGAGGGGCTTGGATATGGTAAATAGCCAATGTCTTTCCCCAGGGTAGGAGAGTCCAAAACTAGAGGGCATAGTTTAAGGTAAGAGGGGAAAGATTTAAAAAGGTTCTAAGGGGCAACTTGTTCATGCAGAGGGCAGTGTGTGTATGAAATGAACTGCCAGAGGAACTGGTGGAGGGTATAGAATAACAACGTTTAAAAGGCATCTGGATGGGTACGTGAATAGGAAGGATTTAGGCCAAATGCTGGCAAATAAGGTTAGATTTACCTAGGATATCTGGTCAGCATGGACGTGTTGGACTGAAGGGCCTGTTTCTGTGTTGTACATCTCTATGACTTAATGACATAAAAGATTGCCCATTGGGATGGGAGAATTGCTACAACTGCCATACATGGGTAAGAGGAAGTGAATGCTGACTGGGAAGAGTATAGTAAGCAAAGTTGTTGGGAATTCCCCCTTTTCAATGGAATATGTACTTGGACCTTTCTATGAGTGTAGGTGCTCAGTGGTTATAGCTTTGCGAGAATAACAAAGCAGTGAGTTGTGGAGAACCTTCAGGAAGATGGTCTAAAAGAGAGGCTTCAGACAACCCGTGTGCTGAATTATTTTAAAACCTTTTGTAAGTTTACAGATAAGTTGCCTACTTAGTTTACCTGTGCTTTACAAATGTCGCTAACCCTTTGGAGACTGAGAAATTTGGGTTGTATATAATAATATCTGATGACATAACCAAAATCCAACCTTATTGGGTTTCTGGCCTCCCATGCAGCCAATTTCCCAATCGCTTTGTTTAAATCAGTAGCTATTAGCCGTTAGATGCTGATGACATTGAAAACTGTACAGCATCACCGAGGTAGAAATTCAGTGAGAATGACTGAAAAAGAAATCTGGCATAGGGCTATATTGTGTTTTTTGAAATTGAATGTTCTGATTCATTTTGATTATGCTAAGTATTACATAATTAACAAACAATACTGTAACAGTTTTCAACGAAGCAATACCAGTGAAAGTTGAGCTTTCATCATTATGGGATCAATTTGAGAAGTGATTTGCTCGACGTAAGAGCATATCATTGCTCACGGTAGAGTCATAAAGAGGACCATAGCTATAAGTCAATAACAGATAATGCCTGCAATATGTAATTTCACCATTTATGGTGCTGGAGCACTCCCTTCAACTCATGCTAATTCTTGATTTTGTGCAGTCTAAAATTCAGATATCCCTGGCAAATAATTCCAGTTCACAGGTAATTCCAATGCTACCCCAATTAGGAAAAAATCTTTGTCTGTTCGACTATATATCAATGAAGAATTTTTTTAAAAATTCATGAATCCTAGATTTGGCACTGATAGCTAATATTTTATTGAAAATAATAAAGCAATAGAATTGAAAATAATTGTCAATAATAGGGCTTCTCTGGCTTCCTGGGTGAATGAACTATGGTGAGACAAATAGTTTGCCTATTTCATCTTTAACTCGTAATATTATACTAATGTCACCAAATGCAGTAAAGCAAAATGAATTTGTAAGGTTTACCATAGTATTGAAATGTTGAAAGATCTTTGAATCAAAGAAATTCAGCAGTTGACTGTAATTGATAGGTACTATCTTACATTTGATATTACAAGTAAGAGTGTATAGAGCTATGTATAATATTCATAAATTACAAGTAGACTTAAATATATTTAAGTAGTTATTGTTAGACTTTAAAAATATTGTACTATAAATCAATTATTATGAACCAATAACATTTTATTAAATACAAACCTAAAACTAGCAAAAGTATGTTTTGGATTAAAGGCAGTTGGATTTGATATGCCTATGTATTTAAGGACATAAGATCATGAATATGTCATGCATTTGTATCTCGACAAGAAGGAATGATAATGCAAAATGGGTTTCACTGGCTGTCCATACCTTTCATACAAAAGAATTATGTTTATATAGCTTTTTTCTTAAATTCATGAGTAGTCACAATTTAATGAAAAGATTCATGTTATTTATATAATATCCCTAAGTGAAAATCCATTAAAAGTATCAGTATAAATTATGTTTTTAGGATATAATTCAATTTGAACCTTTTATTGGACTAGTTATAATCACAGAAAAGTGCATAATGTATCATTTTTTTCCTTTTATAAAATGTTCACACATCTTTTAATAAAATTCAGAAAAGATTTGTATTGACTCAGTGGACCCTTTAGTTCCAATATGTGAAATTTGTTAGCTACAGCAGTAGATTAGTTAGGATGACTAATCCCTGTTTGACACATTCAGGTCTTTCTTATGCAAATTTTGATGGCAGGTCAATTAATATGGGACTGTTTGAAGGTAACAGTGGTAATTTGTATCAATGCCTATGACAGTGTGAACATACAGGTATTTGACAATGCAGCTCAACATCTGACAATATGAAAAGGATAATTAGATCGCACTGCTGCACTTTTTTTCAGGAGTAAGTAGGAGGTTAAATAGGCAGTGCACAGAATGTCTAGAACAAGATTGGTATATTGATTAAAAAGCTGATTTAACAGCTCACATTTCCCCTTGGAAACTTTGAAAGATAAACCAGCTGCCGTCTAGGAGCCATCACTATCTACCAAGGGTGCACTATCTATCATCACAATATGGTGATGAGAGGTGTTTTATGTTTGTGTTAATTTTCCCCACTAAATCAGTAATTATTACAATACTATCCCCGCTGTTTACCCTGCAGCTGTTTTTCCATTTGTCGAGAGAACGAGTGTTCTCAGAGGACCGCACACGCTTCTATGGCGCAGAAATTGTCTCGGCTCTAGATTATTTGCATTCCGAGAAGATTGTGTACCGAGATCTCAAGGTAACAATGTAATCAGAATTTGTTCCTTTATTCTTTTTTTCACACTAGGAACATACTTGAAATTATTCATAACCTACTTACAACAGCTGAACCTGCTGTTCTCACCACAAATTATTGTAATAATGGACACAGTTGATTTCTTTTTAGAATTTGAAAGACATTTTAAAATATTACCTCTCAAAGAAAAACTTTTGTCCATATTTTCTGCTTATCTCCCAAGTTTTATGTAATTTCCCATGTGCTTGTCTTCAACTATGGCAGCCTACTTCCACATACTATTAATACTTCTTCATAAACAGCTACTATAAAATCGACAAACAAAACAAGTTCCTTCTCATTTCATATCTTTTCCCTTTTGAAGAGGAATCTTGGTGATCTTGTTAGTTCCCCATCTAAAACTGGTTGAAACACAGAGCTTTCCAATATGTTGCATCTTGGATGCAAACTTCAACACAATTTACTTATCCACTGTAGTATTATTATCACCTTTTATTTGTAACTTATCTAATAGCTATTTTTATTCAAATGCACTGTACATGCAATACCTAATGTAAGCATTCAAGATTATAATTAATATAGATCAACTAAAATAGCTTGTTTTCTATGTAAAGGTGCTTGTAACTAAACGTATTAAATGATGCCTCAGAAGCTAAAGGTGAAGCCAATAAGATTGGTTAATAGTTTAGTCAAAAACATGGGTTTTAAGGAGGATATTAAATGTGAATGGGGAGTTACAGTTTTGGGAATCAATTTCTGAACACAAGGGCCTGGCTACAGAGGGCATAATAGAAACAGAGTCATCATTTTAACGTTTTCACTGTGTGAAGAAATAGGTTATGAAAAGGTTTTTTTAGTGATTTTTTTCAATCACAGAATGCTTTGATGTAGGACGTTTGAGGTAGAGAACCTTAGTACTTTTAAGAATCAATTGAATAAAGTTTTGAAACAAAAGATGACATGACTTTGGGAGTAGAGCTGGGCAGTTGGTTAGTTTTAACTTGTTCCCACAAAAACTGACACTGTTGTGCTGGGCTCAATGTGCACCATTGTGCTCTTAATTTTTAGGTAATTGTTTTAGCATAAAAACCGTATGTAAATTTGAAAAATAAATATTGGAATGAAATAAATACTTTTCAAAAAAATTCTGCAAATAATCAAACCATCAGCACAGGGATTGACTGTTCTATTTATTTGCTTCATTGTGTAATAAAATTAGTTACTAAATAATGTTGAAATGTATATTGAATAAATGTTGTATATTGAAATCTTTGTAGGGCATCACGGTGACTCAGTGGTTAGCACCTCTGCCTCACAGTGCCAGGGACCCAGGTTTGATTGCAGCCTTGGGTCACTATCAGTATGTGTGGAGGTAGCACTTCTCCCCGTGCCCGTGTGGGTTTCTGCTGGGTGCTCTGGTTTCCTCCCACGGTCTCAAGATGTGCTGGTTAGGTGGATTGCTAAATTGTCCATAGTGTCCAGGGATGTGTCGGCTCAGTGGATTAGCCATGGTAAATACAGGGTTATGGAGATAGGGTATGGGACTGGGTGTGGATGGAAAGCTCTTCGGATGGCTTGTGGACTTGATAGGCTGAATGGCCTCTTTCCGCACTGTAGGGATTCTGTAATTCTATAATGATTCTGTGCTTTATAATGTGGTGGAGTGAATGAGATTTTTTGATTATCAAGAGAAAATCTTTGCATATAATAGTTTATTATGTATGGGCAAATTTCAGTCTGTAGGATGTATTGAAAATTGAGTTTCAAATTAAAATTTTATGGCATCATTAGAAACTATAAACTGTTGAACAATTGTAAAGAATAATATTTGTGAAATTTAATTTGTTACGGATTCTCGTATTTAGAAATGAAGCCCTCGCCTGTCCTGAAGAAGACATGATTTTCCCTACAGATATCCAAGAGCTTTTGCATTCCTCCAACTCTGATCTTTTATATTCCTTTTTCCATCATCTCACCACTGGCAGTTGTGATTTTTGATTTTTACTATGGAATTCTTTTTAAACTTTTCTTCCTCTGCCTCTCCAATTCTCTCTCTTCCTTTCTCCCTGAAACTGACATGAGCTTTAATTGAACTTTCATACATCCTTCTCAGTACCCTTTTCATTGGTGCAATACCTATTTATTGTCTGCCTATGCTTCTAAGAAGTGCCATCAGATGATGTTATATTAGCAGTGGTATACAAATGGAAGGTGCTGTTCTAATTGTTTATAGCCTGTATTTAGGTGATTCTATTAACAGAACGAGAGTAGGGAAATTGGACGTCAAACATATTACATGATTAAACTAACTTTCATTGATAGAACTTAGTTATTTTCCCTTGGGGAGGGCAATAAAACTGCAAAAGAAAGATTTCTTGAATTTTGTTTTTGTTCAAAATACTTCTTCACTTTATAAAAGAAAATATTAGCCCAAGAAAAAATTCTTTGTTCTCTTACCTGTGCAAACAGTGCTCCTTTCCTGTTCTGTAGTTTCTTGGGGTTTGCAACTCTCAGACCAGTTTGAAGTCACAGTCTGTGCTTTTCTCATGAAGTTTCAGTTAACTCTCCATTGATCTTATTAATGCAGTGAAGGAAAATCAACTGTATGTTCTCCATTCATTCCAGTAAGGAAGTTTGATTTTTAAAAAATCAATATTTTAGATAACTGTTACTTCCTGTTATAAATTGGAGGTTTAAGAATAAATGTACCCCCCCCCCCTCCAGATTGAGTTTCCCATTATTGTCGGTTCTGATGACTGTTGGTATTGCTTATTTTTGAAAATGATGGATTTTTTTTTGTAGCTGGAGAATTTAATGTTGGACAAAGATGGTCACATCAAAATCACAGATTTTGGACTTTGCAAAGAAGGAATTACAGACGCAGCTACAATGAAGACATTTTGTGGTACACCAGAATACTTGGCTCCAGAGGTAGGATCATTATAACTGAAGTCACCAGATCTTCCAATGTTAATAACTGAGTTCTAACAGAGACCAGAGGGAGAATATTTTTCAAAAGCTACTAATATTATTTCAGTATGTTAAAATTTAAGAATATCAACTTAACAAAAAGATATTTGGCTAAACAGTTATCTTTGTTTGTCAAGCATGCTACATAGCGACATACATCCTATTGTAGTGTGTAATTGCAGAATTTCAGGTTGGTACAGCACAGTGTAGGCTGTTTGGCCAATTCTATTTTGATTTAATCCCTATCCTCCTCCTTCACTTTCTTCACATAAGCACTGCCCTCATCGGGCTTTGCTTGTGACTGGTTCACCCACCGTTTGGGTGTCTTCCTGGTGGTGGAATGTATGGAATAAAGTTTTTGCACAATGATGTCTTTTTACTGAGTCACTACACACACACACAAAAAAAATAGACTGTTTGTCCTACTGCGTATGTTTCGATTCTCCAAATGAACATCTCACCTCATGCCGTTCTGAATGCCTTTTCCCCATAACGCTGCATACTTTCCTTTTCAAATAACCATCTAATTCGTTTTAAATGCCTTGATTGAACTTACTTCCATTGTGATCTCAGACAGTGCATTCCAGAACCTAACTACTCACTGCATGAAAAAAGATTCCTCATTTCACTTTTGCTGCTTTTACTAATTATTTAAATTTGTGTCCTCTTGTTCTCAATCCTTTCACGAGTGATAACAGTTTTTGCCTACTTATGTCGTCTAGAGTCATTCCATCACTTCCTTGTGACATTACCTTGGAGAAAATGGTATAAAGATTTATACCCTTGCAAAATCATTTTAAAGCTATGCAATTATAAAATAATTTTAGTTTATCCAAAAGTAATTGCCATAATTTCTAATTCTGAATAAGCAGAATAAAGCATTTTGAAGTAAATTGGTCTGTGAACAGTGAAACAATGGTTTTCATGGTAAGATGTTTCTTGCTGGAAATCTCAATGACCCTTTATGGATGAAAATAATAATGTCTGCTTCTGACATCCAGTACTTACTTCCAACTGTATTAAGGCTGCATTCTGAAATCTGTTCTGAATGTCCTATTTTTATTTCAACATTTAGACTGCTTTGTTTTAACTATCCATCAGTATTAATTTTTAGCTTTCTACTTTTCATCAACATTTAATAATGTGCATTTTCTATCACCAGTTTTCAGAAATTAATTTGATGATTTTTGTTTATGTAAATCTTCCAATTCTTTGAACAATGTACTTGAAGAAATAGTAAAATCCAGAAACAGTCCAATCATGTTTCAATTTTATAACAGATTATCACTGTTCAGGTTACCAAAAGTCAGTGGTCATAAGTGTGTTGTCTGATGTAAATGAAAATATAAAATTTAAAAGCTACGTATTAAGGGTGGCCTTTTGACACAATGTCAATTATTTGCCAGAAAGAAGTAAGATGCAGGTTCATGTTGGAAACTATCGCTATTGTGAATTTAGATCAAATTTTTAATTCACGGCTGCGGTAGACGGATTTTTAATTCAAGACTGTGATAGGTGGATTTTGAATTTGTAAAGAAATCAAGAGTTATGGGGGAAAGGAAAAAAAGGGACTTGTTGAGCCAAAGGGCCTGTTTACACAGGGATTCTATGATTCTATGAAAGTGGAATTGAGGATTATCAGATTAGCCATGATCTCATTGAATGGTAGGGCAGACTCGATTGGCTGAGTGGCTTACTTCTGCTCCTATGTCTCATAGGTGGCAGAGATTGTTATAGAGAATGGGAAATTGTATTTGGGCCAATAAGTCTACTCTTTCACACATTCCAGTGGCTGATTGCAAAGTGACACAGGCCAACCGCTGAAACGAATAGGTGTCATGGTCAATAAATGCTGTATGGCTGAGGCAGACTCCCAAAGGAATGGCCAAAATGCAACAGACTTGCTTGCATTTACCCCAAGCCATCTGTGAAAATGTTTTACAGATGTCCTGAAATCAATCTAAAAACCTATTCAGTTAATGCTACCTTTACATATATCATGTCAAAATGGTCCATATTTTGGAGATGTGTCATAAGCTATTATTGTTGTAAGTTTGAGAGACATCAGTGATGCACTGCTATTGACTAGTGTATAATATTTTTTAAGCCATGAACAGTTTTAAGGTGGATCTTGTTGCATGTGTAGACTGTCAGGTGAACAGTTTTCATTCTCTAGATTTCAGAAATTAGAAGCTTTTTAGTAATCCAATGTAGAGTGCATTTCATGTTTTATTTTAAAAGAACTTCAGGCTTGTAAAAATAAATGTTAGGAAGCCTGACACACAATGATGCCAACAAATATGTTATGTGGTAGGTGATATTTGCATCATGGTGTTTTCTCACAAAAAGTGGATGTTAAATAATGGCAGATGCTGACAAATGAGAAGGGTAGTACAGGTCATTGTGAAATCCAGTAAAATGCTGTATGGAGCTGTTGTAAAATAGTAAAAGCTTGCTTTTTCCTAGCGTATATTCTGTTTGATTTGAAAGTTGAATGCATCAAAGACAGTAAGCTATGAAATGTTTACCAATGTCTTTTTGTAAACCATGTCCAGATGATTAACTAAACAATCACAACAAAGACCTGCTCTTTATGAATTCGCTTATTTGCTGGATACATTCTCTGTATCATTTTGGCTGCTGCAACCTCTGTTTTCCCTCAGCCATGTGTCTTCCAGAGGAAACGTATGTACTGTACATAGGTTGCATATTGCACAAGTGCAGTCGGACATTGTTGCTATTTGCAAAAATTACCAATTGTGACATTTTCTGGGGCACAACCCCCGTGAATGCAGGACTGAAACTTTATCCTTCACTATTCTCTTTATGTCTGTAATGTGAGGCTAAAATTCAATTTCCAGATTTTCTTTATCAACATTGTAGTTGTTTATATCTTTTATCCAACAAAAGTGTTAATACAGTCGCAATCATTTAGTTTCCACATGAGTGAGAGGAAAGAAGAAAAGTGCCGTTCAGTTCCTAAAGGTTGAAAATTCTAAAGAACCTCAACTTTACAAAAGCTAAATCTAATATATTCTGAGGCAGGTATGTAATCTGGCCAAATGTGCTGGGTATGCATAAGTTTGTTACAATCAATGTGATAGTACATGTTGAAAACAAAAACATGCTGGAGATCACAGCAGGTAAGGCAGCATCCATGGAGAGAAAGCAAGCTAACGTTTCACATTTAGATGACTCTTCATCAGAGCTGAAGTGAAGTGTGGAGGGGACAACATTTATGCAATAGTGGGGTGGAGGGGGTGGCTGGGGTGGTTGGTGTGCTGGGGGTGAAAGATGTTGATAGTTCAGATTAAGTGGTTGGAATGTGAGAATGGCAGAACAATGGTGTGTCTATCTGCCAGGCTGGAAAGAACAGACGGTCCCACTGGAGTGGGGGGAGGGGAGAGATGACATGGTGACAGAGAATGTAATAAGCAAAGCCAAAAGAAAGTGAAGGAATGAATTCACAATTTGAAGGTGTTGAACTCAGTATTGAGCCCAGAAGGTTGTAAAGTGTCTAGTTTGAAGATGAGATGTTGCTCCTGCAGCTTGCGCCGTGATTCGCTGGAGCTTTACAGCAGGTGAGGACAGACAAGTGGATGTGCAAGCAGGACGCTGTGTTAAAAAGACAGGCTACGGGAAGGTCGGGGTCATGCTTGTGCACGAACTGGAGGTGTTCTGCAAAGCAGTCACCCAGTCTGCGTTTGGTTTCTCCAATGTAGAGTTGGCTGCATTGGGTGCAGCCACTTCAGTACATAAGATTGGAAGAGATGCAGTTGAAATGCTGCTTCACCTGGAAAACTGCTTAGGCCCTTGGATGGTGAGCAGGGTGGAAGTGAAGGAGCAGGTGTTGCACCTTCTGTGATTCCATGGGAAGGGGGAGTGGTCTTGGTAGTTGAGGAATGGTCCCTGTGAAATGCAGACGGGGACTGAAGGGAGGGTGTTTGTTGATGGCATTCTGCTGGAGTTGTCTGAAAAAGCAGAGAATGATCCTTTAAATGTGTAGGATGGTGGGATGAAAAGTGAGAACAAGGGGGACCCGATCACACTGTTGTGAGTAATGGAGAGGGGCAAGGGCAGAAGCATGGGTGATAGGTTGGATGCAGTTGAAGGCTGTGTCAACCACGGTGAGCGGGAAACCATGGTTATGGAAGTAGGAAGCCATGTCAGCAACGTTGTTTTGGAAGGTGGCATCATCCCAACAAAAATGGCACAGACAAAGGAACTGGGAGAATGGGATGGAATCCTTGCAGGACATGGAGTGGGAAGAGCTGTAGTGAAGATAGCTAAGAGAGTCAGCAGCTTTGTAGTGTAGAAATGTATATGAAGAAGTATGCCTGAAATCCTGAGTCATCTCTATTATGTATATTGTTTTAAGTGAAGAGACTCACATGATATTATAAAGTATTCTGTTTATTTAAAATCTACAATTCATTAGATTAAGACATTCTAGATGTTCTCATTGTGGAAAAGCTTTTAATTCTGTGAACAAGATTTAATTTGATCTTGATGTGTAGCAAAAGATATGTAATCACTACAATAGTTATGCTTGGTTTTAAAATCTATGTTCTGATCATAAATGTGATCGTCATTTTCTGATAATATGAACATGTAAAGTAATGTTTCATCAACTATCAATGCATTAATTAAAAGTGGAACATTAAACTTAGTTGTATCAGAGACAGTAGGAACTGCAGATGCTGGAGAATCTGAGACAACAAGGTGTAGAGCTGGATGAACACAGCAGGCCAAGCAGCATCATAGGAGCAGGAAGGCTGACGTTTCGGGCCTAGACCCTTCATCAGAAATGGGGTAGGGGAAAGGGGTTCTGAAATAAATAGGGAGACAGGGGGAGGCGGATAGAAGATGGATAGAGGAGAAGATAGGTGGGGAGGAAACAGTTAGGTCAAAGAGGCGGGGATGGAGCCAGTAAAGGTGAGTGTAGGTGGGGAGGTAGGGAG